GGGAATACATACTCTTTTTGCATGGGTCCTGGGGCTGTCTCTTATACACATCTAGATGTGTATAAGAGACAGGTCCCCATCACCGTCAAAAGAGCATGTCAATGTAACTCTACAGACCCCTCAGTCCTATCTACCTACTACTATCTATCCCACTAATCCACCTCTACCAAAATGTAGGAATCGCATGAGCAGCATGTACACTATGTTTGCCTGCCATACGAGTGGCAATCGCTAATTTGGATTTGATGATTTCAATCTCAAAATGGGGCGCACAATGAGAACGAATATCAATCACTGAACAAATGGCTTCCTTTTGCCACTGTCGACTATCCGCTAAGGAGTTGGCACGCTGGAAGAGTGGAAACGCTCATCCAACCGTCCAAGAGAAGCCGAGCTGGTAAACGGTGACTCTATCATACTAAGGGCTTAGGTGAATAACCGGAAAAGTTAAAACTGCTACATAGCTGCCGCTTATTATAAATCTATGGGTGAAACGGAAAAGAGTCAAAAGGCGCAAAAGAGCTTTGGCAGTGAGTTCAGGCATCGTGAGCTTTATTCCCTCCCCCCCCACCCCCACCCCCGGGGCACCGTGATCTCAATAAGCGTCACAGCGACAACCGTGGCAGTTTTTTGGACACAGTATGAAGGTGGGGGGGAGCGGCACCACAAATGCGTACGTGAAGTAGCGGCTCAGTACATGATCAAAATCGTGTGTGAATGGAGGGAAAAAAAGACAAAGGCGTCGTTGACAAAAGCTCTAATCTGTCGAGAACTGTTCCCACAACCCTAAACCAAAGCAGAACACCAAGAAAAGCAGAAGACCCAGGATGCGTGTTTTGTACCGCCCATGCCGCTCCAGCTCTCTGCTGATTAATTAATTCTGTTCTAAATTTTGGCATAGAATGCCAGTGATAGTTCAAAGGGGAATGACACATGTGGCAGCAACAGAAAACCCCTCTACATGACAGCAATATACCCTATCTCTCTACGCTGCATGCGCGCACGATATCCACTCCTTAACAGTTGCAGCTAGAGGTCCCACTCTCCCAATTGTTCTGCAGCTGCTCAGCCTCCCCCCTTGTTGGCATAGAATGCCAGTGATAGTTCAAGGGGGAATGACACATGTGGCAGCAAGAGAAAACCCCTCTACATGACAGCAATAAAGCTTACCTCTCTACGCTGCATGCACGCACGGCATGCACTCCTGAACAGTTGCGGCTAGAGGCCCCACTCTCCCAATTGTTCTGCAGCTGCTCAGCATCCCTTAGCCATTTCTTTCCTCCAATAGTAGCCCTACGTTCTCACGTCCTATCTGGTGAGAGAGCCTTCTGTCACTGTCAACAACTGGGGGGTGTTACGAGGAGGACACATGTCAGGTAGTCAGTGCACGCTCAAGCCAGTCCAAGTCAGACAAAGGACCAGCTGCTGAAGAATACAATTAGTGCACATGAGAGTTTTGAGATTACCTTCTTCACCTGAATAGACCACACGGTCATTTTCACTGCATCTGGATGAGAGTTGGGGGCAAATACAGCTATGACCGCCATACGTTCTATTTGCGGGAAGACGATACCAAAGGGTGCTGATGTGACAATGGGGCCACCTGCTTGGCAAAGGTATGCTGCATTGCCTTGCCAGCGATAGCTACTCTCAACCGGCGTCATCGGGGAAACATCGGGGAGGAGATAAACCATGATGCAGACTTGTGCGGTTAGCAGGACCGCCCCTCCATGGTTATGTCCAGCAATCACTGATGCCATCAACCGCACGCCTTCATGCTTCGCTGCGTGGACAAAATGGGCATCTTCTGGGAACTCAGCATCCAGCCTGCATGATGTCTTCCAGGGAGGCCTTCCTGGAGGACATCATGCCCTGCATGCCGCCTCCCAGTCATGACTGACGTCTAAGGTCACCCTGCTAATGGTATCCCCAGTGCAATCCCTCATTCTAAACCGATGCCCACCCGCAGGTGCTCTGTACGGCAACGACGTCTGTTGCGAAACATTCCTGTCCTCTTTGTCATGCAATTGTTAAAAGCTGGCTCATGAATACGACAAAAATCAGGCTTGTTCAGGTGATACAATCAATCACAGAGCGCACTTGCAATCTCCATCCAGCTTCCATCCCATGCCCACAACTTCACAATCCACAACGATGAGGATCATTCAGCACTCACGCCTTGCGTCTGATCTATCTATTGCCACTGCTAGCAACACCTCAACATGCCCCTGGTGGGCAACCGGCTCTTCAAGTCCAACAATTAGATGCTTGACATTGCTTGTCCAGAAAAAAAATGCTACACCCAGAACGTCCACCTGTCGGCAGTTCCTGCACCCTACGTCCACGACTGCAGAATGCTTGTCCACAAAATCAAGCGCAGAACATAGATTTCATGATGGCATCACTGCTACACCCAGAACGTCCACCTGTCAGCAGTACCTGCCCACCCTACTGCTACACCCGGAATGTCCACCTGTTGGCAGTACCTGCACCCTACGTCTACAACTGCAGAATGCTTGTCCAGAAAATCAAGCGCAGAACATAGATTTCATGATGGCATCACTGCTACACCCAGAACGTCCACCTGTCGGCAGTACCTGCACCCTACTGCTACACCCAGAATGTCCACCTGTCCGCAGTACCGCACCCTACGTCAACAACTGCAGAATGCAGGATAACGACAACCGCCCAGTTCGGAATTCCCTGCGTTTTTCCCATGCACTATCCGACAATTAGATCCTTGTACGAAACAATCAAGCACAGGAAAAGTTGTACATGATGTCGTCACTGCTTCGGCAGTACCCTTCGCCCTACGTCCACAACTGCAGAACACGTGATGATGGCAGCACCCCGTACAGAACTACCTCCTTTTTCCATGGTCCAACTTGCTCTTCACGACAAACAATCCAACGCTTGTCCGGACGATCAAGCGGAGGAGGAGACATGATACACTTTCTCACTGGCACCTCCAGCATCTCCTTACCCTCGCAACAGTACCTTAATGCGCGATAACCACAAATGCAGAGTAATACAGAAGTGACCACCACAACTGCAGAATACATAATGATGATGACAACAACCATCGCAAAGTCCGCTCCTATTGCAATGCGCTTTTCGAGAAGCTGGGGTCCACATTCAACCACTGGTCCCTTTTCCCACCCTCTCGGATCATATCTCCCGTCCAAAGACTCTAAAGATTTCATAATCTTCGATTGTCGTCAGGCACAGGAAGTACATTAACGCCGTCACTACTGGCGTGCTCGGGATCTCCATCCTGCTGACAGTATCTTCATGCTATGCTGACCAAGTGTCCTCCTCCAGGCACATGGAGTACATCAACGCCACACAATAGGTAGAGATGACAGTGTCAATTGCACAAGTACCCTCCTTCAGCCATGCACATTTTGGGAAGCTCACCTCAGATTCTCTGAGTACCACAGCTGGGCCTGTTCAGAGGAGGCCACTGGGCACGCGGAGGACGTGAACGCAGGCATCTATGTCCGGTGACCCCCTTGCATGGTGAACCCCTTCCATGGTGAACCCCTTGCATGGTGAACCCCTTGCATGGTGAACCCCTTGCATGAAGGTATCCCTCGGTAACTTCAGCTAACAATTTGTGTGGGTGTCAGAGTCGATGACTCGTTGAATATACTGTGAGCTGCTACAAAGCCGCGTCCAAATCGCTTCGCCATGACATGGACATCATCCACATTAAGTAGGATAATAGGAGGCTTTGCCTTCTAATGACTCTACAAATGAGAGAGAATAAATAGACGCGTTAAGAGAGACATACAGGTGCAGACGGAGAGGAGATCCGAGGAGAAAACAAGACATCGGAATCTGCCTCATCATCTGATCAGAGCAAGAAGCCAATGACAACCAAGTATACACAGAGCTCATCAGATGCAGTTCCGATTCCAGCTCAGACCCTAAGTTGGTTCTGCCCTTGATGATACTTAGAGGTGGCCGTTAGAAACCAACCACGACACTGAAGCACAAGTGCTAAACCACAGACAAGTGCCAAAGGAAAAAACGAACAAAATAAAACGGTTGTGACTCGTGAGCGATACACATGGATGTAAGAGTTGTCGTCGTTAGAATACCTCTTGAACTCACAGAAATTACAGTGCCAATTGCATGAAAATCACTCCACTAATGTATCTACCAGATTATATCCTAAAATACTACAGGTCTGCCATGTCCAACGAAAGAGTCTCATCCAGAATCCTCACTCCTTATGAATTCCTCCTCCTCCTCCTCCTCCTCCTCCTCTCTCTCTCTCTCTCTCTCTCTCTCTCTCTCTCTCTCTCTCTCTCTCTCNCTCTCTCTCTCTCTCTCTCTCTCTCTCTCTCTCTCTCTCTCTCTCTCTCTCTCTCTCTCTCTCTCTCTCTCTCTCCCCTTTCTACCTCTCCTTCTCCCTCTCCCTCTCCCTGTCCTTTCTCAGGACCCTATTGATACAGTTCCCATCATTCACCACCACTTCTCACAAAGCTTAGCAGTCTATCGTCCTCTGCCCTTCCGTGGATGGTATCCCTCCCTCTCTCCCCCTCACCCCACTGTTACCAACACTAAAATATTGACCCTGCAAAAGGGATCTTCCTTAGTAGAGCTATACGACAGAATTGCATCACCCGTAGACACAATTCTACTCGGCTTTCTAGCACCTTTCTACTCACATGCTGCTGTCATACAATAAGAGAAGAGAAGCAAAAGAAACGTCAAAAATGAGCTGGCGACGGAAAGTTAGTTACAGAAGGAACGTGGTAGAGACTCTAGTACAGTCGACTGCAGAGTAATACTACAGAGCAATGGAGATACAAAACCATACAGGCGCTTGGTGGTTTTTTATTTTCTGCTGCACATCCTCGATATCGGGAAGTTCAAAGTTCAAACAGTGTGCATGCAATATGTGCACCGCCCTTATACTTTTTCTAGCTTAAGTTTTTCAGTTCCCGCGATCCCTTCCAGTTTAAACTACGAAGTTCAAAGTGATATTCTGGTAGCTATGTTAGTTTTGACATACAAACTAAAAAATTGTGAAGACTTGAAAATGAAAAATTGAGGTATGAAGCCCAAGGGACCCACTAGTGCCCAGCACCAACAAGTTGGTTGATTGGGGCCATTCCTACAAACACAGGGAGCATCCCATAGTCTGATAATTTCACGATAAACATCTCTCTCTCTCTCTCTCTCTCTCTCTCTCTCTCTCTCTCTCTCTCTCTCTCTCTCTCTCTCTCTCTCTCTCTCTCACAGCAGCTTTTACTTCCAATCTGAACAACACTGGAATGGTGCTCCTACATAAATCTCCTGACCCTGGACGTCGATTTCCAGAAAGAGACTTAAATTAAACTACCCGCTTCCACAAGAACAAGGCCTTGAGAGAAAATTCCATCAAATTTCCACCTAGTGTCCATGTTCTGCTTCTGTTTGGGATGCTGCTGCCATGTTCACACCACTTCCAATTCAGGTACGTGGCAGAAACATCAGCGTAACATGCCACCACAACCTGGATGTCCTGCTGCTCGAGGAGGGGCCACTTGCACTCCGTTGAAAGGAAAGAGGGTAGCACCCAGCACTCGTCTCGTCTCCCAAGAGTCCATATGAACCCCCTCCCCCCCGCCCCCCCTCTCCCTTACCCCTTTTTCAGATGGAGGCGTGCCTGATTTGCTTCTCGCTCCACATGTTTGGGCACCTCGTTCACGGATAGGTTAAGCGATTACCCTACACATAAAAGCGCACTTGATCCACTCTACAACACTGTACATCTGCCTGCCGGTTACATGGCAGCGGAGGCGCACGCCATGAACAGGAAAAACAGGTGTTTTCGTCTTAACCCTGGTTAGCTCACACTTGCACCATATGCTGCACCTCCGTGCAGCTCCATGCCCACTTTAGATGCACCTCAAAGCCGCCTTGAATCGTGGTGCATCTGCGATGGTGGCATGCAGTGGACACTTCAGGACCTTCATCTGCGATGGCGGCATGCACTGGAACAGTTCACATTGTCACAACCTTCATCTGTGTATAGTACATAAATAAGACTTCCAGACTTTTGCACATTTGGGTCAATGAGGGGAATATATTTGCGCCGTCTTTTTTGCAAGCTGGCACAACCTAGTGGTGCCACCAGGAGAAGACCTCAATTGTATACTTTATCTGCTGCGTGTGGAAGGGGAACAAATGAGAGCGTACCACTCCTAGTCCTTCGCCAGCAGTGAATTGCTCACTCCGACTCAGCACAGATTCTGCTTCGCTTACCGCTGTGGCGATGCCCTCCCAATTCCCCATCAGCTTATCAGATGGATGGTTAACAAAGAACCAGAGCTGTAGAATCTGTTCCAATCACCCAGGAGCCTCAGGATCAAACTGCCCACTCTACCATGTTGTAGATCTCTATCAAAATGGCAGTCCTGACGCCTCTACACTCCCAATCTCAACCACAGTTGGACTCCTGACCACAATGAACACCCCTTTTATACTCCCAGCACCTCCGGGAAAAACAGTCCTCCATGGTAGGCGGTTTCCGATATGCTTTCTAGAGAGAACTGCACCAAGAGAGGGACCTCCTTGAAGCAACATGGGAAATTTGGGCCCTGAAGATCCTTGGAGAAAAAAGGCGCGCCACATTTGGAATTCCCCTGAGTCCTGACCACCATTAACCCAGCCTTGATTGTTGTCAAAGCAATCGAAGGAAAGGGTGCGACAAATGCAGAAATAGTGTGCATAGCATGGGGTACCTTCCGTTTCACGCGCATAGCGGGTGGAGTGCAAAAAGGGGGCGCAGTACAAGGAACAAAAATATTGCACACGACATGCTGACCATGTAGAAAGTTGGGCATCCATGTTATTCTGAAGAAATAGTTTGCACTTCATTCGGGCTTCAGAGTTCACACTCGATTCTCAAACGCCTTTTTTTCTCCTGCTCGACTCGTTCCACCTCCAAGCCCCAGATGCATCCTCTACCTGGAACCGGATACGATGCATCTGGGCTCTAGCACTTAGACTAGGTCGGAAAAGTTGACGCCTCCTGAATCTCTCTCCCCAGTTGTCTGATAGATGGTGTTGAGTTGGAGAGATGGGGAAAGTTGGAGGGTATGGTTGGATAGGGGTGTGGGGAAAATATATCATCACCCCTTGAAACTGGCAAGAGCCCTTACAGCAGGAAGGAGGAAACTGTGGCTCGTCCCATCACGGGCTAATGGGCCGAAAAACCTGTGGAACATACCTGCGAAGGAGGAATGACCTGCAGAAGTGAAAAGGTAGGTCGAAATAAGTAGAAAACCACCAGGCCTCTCTATCCATCGTACCTCCGGGCTTCCTTGCCACCCAAAAAGCCTTACAAAACATTCCAATCACCCGACAGAGCCCCCGTGGCGCGATACTTTACATTTTCGGCACTGAAATGGGCCTTTCCAGAAGTCCGCATCCGCTGACACCACCTGACGCCCAGGGACAGGCGCAGGCAAGGGTGGTGCGACCGGTCCTTTGCACTTCTCACATCTCAGAACGACGCCGGTGTGCATCGACACGTCTATTCCTATTCTGCGGGACATGAGGATAGAGTCATCATTGTACAGCTCTTCCATTCCAGCCACACGGGCAGCACTCGACCTCTTCTCTCTTTTCTTCGCACCTCCCTCTCCAGCCTTCTCCCCCTCTCCGCCCCTTCTCCCTCCTCTCGATTCCCCACCCGAGCGAGCACAGAAAACCGCTCGTAACAGACCCCAGCTTCCACACAGGTGACTCTTTTCAAATGCGCCTGCTGGATTGCACCCAGGCGTCCCCCGTGCTCTCCCACCTCCTCCCCCACCCCTTGGTGTGCATGTCAGATCACACGTCGCCACCTCCGGTGGCAGTATGTCGACGACAATGACGGTCATGTCGTCCTTCACGCCCCGTGCTTTCACTGCTTCCTGCATCATCAACAGCCCCCATCATCCCACATCCAAGTCACCACAGACCGCTCCGGTTTCGATGCCAACATGATTTTAAAAAAAATCAACCAGTAGTTTCTAACTTTATGTACTCTTTTGTTTTTGGTTTAGGGTTTGATGCCTATCATGAACACAGTTAGTTTTCATTGGATGGATTCCGCGCTTGCTCCGCTGCACAACACTCTATATGTATCTGGTGCTCATAATCGTCTGTATACATTCAAAATGTTGTCCTCCTCCGAATGCACCTGGTCCAGAAAGGCATCCAGAAGCACGTAGAATGTTGAGGAGCGGAACGAGGCCCCACGACCCACCATCTTGCAAACAGACAACATGCACCAGAAAAAAGTTTTATTTCTTGATTTGAAAGCTGGCTGCACAATTACTCTTTTTTTTTTTTTTTTTTTTTTTGGGTCACTACATGCAGACTAGTAGCCCACGTGAGTATGTGAAGAAGACACTGAAAAGCAGCGTACACGTGGGGCAATAGCGCCCAAACCACACAGATAGACAAAGTCGTATAGGGTAACCAATCGGTTTCCACTCATTCAAACCACACACCCAAGAACCACCAATCGTTCCCATCACCACCTGTGGTCGGTCAGAGACCAACTACAGAACCGGAAGGAGCAGAATATATTCAAAAAATTGTCAAGAAACAATGATGATGTAGAAGCTATGGCTGAACATAGGTGGCACTACCATTGAACAGTTGGCTTGTGTTTTCAGCGTACCTGCAGAAAAGGGGCGCTGAACAAGCAAAACCCCAGCTGAAGAAGCTGGTTCAGTTTTTTTTTTGTTTTTTTTTTGGATCATTTCTCGATTTGTGCAGTTGTCCTTGCAGCTCTTACTGCAGGCAGATGGGTGGTACCTGTTTGCGAAATTGCTTGCATTGCACAAACAGGTTCTATGAACCAATCACCTGCACAAACAGGTTCTATGAACCAATCACCAGAGTCTCTCTTTGAGTGCATGATTCATTGAACTTCATAAGAGTTCATACTCATCCCCGCCTTGGCTTGTGGCAGAAATGCAAAATGGCAGGCAACAACATGACTGATAATTATGGAAACGAAATTGGCACACGACTAAGGATGCGGTTCAGTCGTCAATGGCTACATCTACCATCTACTTGGAGTTCAGAATTTCAAATACATAAAAAGAAAAGAAACAAACAAATAAGAAATAAATGAAGAGAGACATAAATGTGAAAAATGGCAAAATAACTAGGCTTCCGGCACCACCTGGCTGGGCCACCGCAGTCATGCATCTGTGCAGCCTGCACGGCCAAGCGGCCGTGCGAGCTGTTTCCTTTTATCTCCTTTTTTTTTTTTTTTTTTTTTTTTTTTTTTTTCTCCGGGCGATGGGCCTTTGCTGCGCTTGCAGAGATCTGCCCCAATCTTCCCTTTTCAAAGTAGTTTGGCACACTACCAATTCGAGGTTGAAGATGGAGGGAGAGAGGTAGCAGATAGCGTGAGGGAGGTTGAAGATGGTGGAGGGGGAGGTAGGAGGTGGCGGGGGGGAGGTGGCAGATGGCGGGAGGAAGGTGGGAGATAGTGTGAGGGAGGTGGAAGATGGCGGGACGGAGGTGGGAGATGGTGGTGGAGGAGGAGGAGAACAAGGAAGGTGCAGGAAGGAGGAGGAGAAGACGGAAGTTGTAGGGAGGAGGAGGAGAAAAAGAAAAGAAAAGAACAAGAAGATGAAGAAGAAAAGAAGAAGACAAGACAAGGAAGAAGAAGACAAGATAGGATGCAAATCAGACAAGGTGGGAGGGAAACGGGAGAATTCGGGAGCTGAATGGGAGGAAGGGGGGGAGGACGAGGAAGACGATGGGGAGGAGGCAGTGGTGCGCGGAGGATGAGGGAGGAGGAGGCAACATGCAGAGGAACGCTGAGAAGGGGGAGGGAAAAGGTGCACGGAGGAGGGAGGAGTCAGAAGGATTTTTTTTTTTTTCATAGCTTTTGTCCATCGGAATCGAAGGAGGAGAACAGAGGAGGGAGGAGAAAAAGAAGAAGAAGAGAAACTGGAAGAAGGTTCCGAAGAAGAAAGAGGAGGGAGGAGGAGGAGGAAGTAGAAGAAGAAGAACGAAGGAGAAAGGAGAAGGGAGACGGAGGAAAAAGAGGAGAACGAGGGCGGGAGGAAAAAGAGGAGAACGAGGGCGGAGAAAGCAGAAGGAGAACGAGGAGCAGAAGGAGGAGGAGGAGGAGGAGGAGGAGGAGGAGGAGAAGGAAGAGGAATGGGAAACGACAGAGGAGGAGAAGGACAAGGAGGAGGAGGAGGAGGATAGGTGGAAAAGGAAGGGGACGAAGAAGACAAAGAACATAAAGACGAAGACGAAGACGAAGAAGAAGAAGAAAGAAGAAGAAGAAGAAAGAAGACGAAGGAGAAGAAGGAGAAGAAGGAGAAGGAGAAGAAGAAGAAGAAAAAGAAGAAGAAGAAGAAGAAGAGGAGGAGGTGGAGGAGGAGGACGAGGAGGAAGAAGAAGAAGAAGAAGAAGAAGAAGAAGAAGAAGANAGAAGAAGAAGAAGAAGAAGAAGAGGAAGAAGAAGAAGAAGAAGAAGAAGAAGAAGAAGAAGAAGAAGAAGAGGAAGAAGAAGAAGAAGAAGAAGAAGAAGAAGAGGAGGAGGAGGAGGAGGAGGAGGAAGAAGAGGAAGAAGAAGAAGCGTAGGAGGAGGTAGGTTCTTCTTCTTCTTCTTCTCCTCTTATTCATCCCCGTCTTCTTCCTCCTGTTCCCCTTCCTCCTGGACGCGGAAAAGGAAGAGGAGGAAGAGGAGGAGGAAGGGGAACAGGAGGAAGAAGACGAGGATGAATAAGAGGAGGAGGAGAAGAAGAAGAAGAAGAAGAAGAAGAAGAAGAAGAACCTACCTACCTACCTCAAGAACCTACCTACCTACCTCTATCACTCTTTCCTTCCTGATCTTTTTTCTTTTTTTTTATTTTCTTCATTTTTCTTTTATCTTTTTTTTTCTTTTTTCATTCTTTTTTCTTCTTTTGTTTTACTGTAATTTTTGTTTTTTCAAGGGCAATGGCCTTGGGATGTATCCACAGGGTGAGTGCTCCCAATGAATTCAAAGATCTATGGCACAGATTTGCAGTACGACTTTCCATGAAAACTGGGCCTCCTGCGTGGCGGACAAATGAAAGATGCGCCGGGGGCGGGTTAAGAATCCCCCGCCGCTGAAACTGGTCCTGGTGTCCCCGAAATTGCCCCCATGGCCTGCGTGCCAGGATCGCATGGGGACCTGACCAGGGGACCCGCACAGCTGTGCGACCGTGCCAGCATCCGTGAGACATCCGTGTGCCCCATGTGCACGGAAATGAGCCTGGCAAAATAACCACAAAAGTTCATATATACGCTAAAATACCCTAAAAGATGTGGGTAGAGCGGGATACCCCTCTGAAATTTCAAAAGTTTGTGAAATGCACTTTTGGATTTAAAATTTAAAACCTTTGCATTGCCCCTCTCAGGGGATTGCCAATTCCGTGCCATAGCCCTGAGAGGGGCATAATGCAAAGATTGAAATTTTGAAATCCAGAAGGGCATTTGGGCATTTCACAAACTTTTGAAGGCAAGTCCGCTCTGCCCACATCTTTTAGGTGTATTTTAGCATATTCATAAACTTTCAGGGGTATTTTGCAACTTCTCCCTAAATAAATATAAATAAATATGCGAGGATATAAGCCCTCGACATACCTGTATGTGGCCCCCTACAGAGAGCAAGTGCCCGCCCTAAGCGAAGGCGGGCCGCCGGATTTCAATGAGGCGGCATTGAGGCCTGAATTCTTCAATTTTGCAAAGCCCTGGGTGGGCGCCAGACAGTTGCCACACGCCAGTTGGTTCCATCCGCCCTGCTCATGAGATTCAGAAACAAACAATTTGTGAGCCTTCTCGGCTCTTCTGGCTACGCAGTGGAAGCAAGGCACACCTCACGCTTGCGTGTGGGAATGTGGGTGGTTGGGCACGCCTAACGAATTCGGTCCGAGGCCGCTGTCTGAATGGGCCTGGGCGCAGACACTTTGGCCCAACCTGGAGCTACTGGGAAAACCTGGAGCTACTGGGCACATATGGAGCCAGGCAGACTGCCTTCGGGCCAGGCCACTTTGAAAGTCTGCATGGTTGACGTCTGCATGTACTTCGGTCACTGCTGCAAACGTCAACTGGTTGCTTTGTCATTTCTGTAGGCTACCATAGCGTAGTAGCTCTAGGATGGTAGACTGGGCGCTGAGAGCCAGTAGGAGGAAGAGCTTCGAGAACATCGTTGGTGGTGGCGAGAGAATGCTTTCATTGACAATTGAGTTCGCTGCTTTGGCTCTCCTTCGGTGCGATATCAGTGCACTTCTGCTTTCTGGACGGCTTACGATTATCTGGCTTTCAATGTCATATAGCAATTTGAAATTCTGTAGTTTCGCTATTGATCATTTTCCTTGCAAATAAATAAATAAAAGATTTTCCTGCCGTATGGATCCGGCTGCCATATTCCTGTGCCACTCTCATGAACATGAAGTCCATCGCAACAATCTCGTCAACCCCGTTTGTGAACGCACTGCTTTTGTTTCACAAGATTATCTATGGGCATTCCTACTACTCACCAGTTGAACCAGACGGCAGAAAGATAACCTCACAATATTTGAATTTTATTATTCTCCACATTTGGAGAGTGGTGTGTGAAAATGGGCAGCATATCTGGAACCAAATGGGGAAGAATATGCGCCCTGTGTTTTTGACACTTTTTGTCCTTTTCAGATTTGGAGAAGAGCGAAGTGAGACCCTATGGCAAATCCAAAGCAAACAATGCAGCATGGCACGGTGTGGAAATACCGTGGAGGTGGAGATAGGCTGCAGAAGGTTTATGTTGTGCTCCCCTCTAGATACCGTGGAGGTGGATATAGGCTGCAGAAGGTTTACGTTGTGCTCCCCTCCTCCCCTCTTCCCCTCCTTCCCCCCTTCCCTCCCGCCACCCTCTTCCCTCGAAAATATC